AGCTGGGTGCCAGGTGGGAAGAGGGGCTCGCAGCGCAGCACGCGTCCCCGGCAGGAGGCTGTCGTGACTAACAGTGTGCTGGTTCCCTGCAGGGAGCACCGCCGAAGGGAAGCTGCAGCCAGGCGACCAGCTTCTTCTGATAAACTCTACCACGGTGGATGATGTGTCTGTGGAGAGAGCTGCTGACATCATCAGGTGTGGTCCTGCGAAGAGAAGGTCTCAGAGGGCTGAGAGGTGCAGGGACCGGGTCTCACCAAGGGCTGCAAAGGTGCATGGCTGCGTGGGGCCGGCCCCCAGTGGAGCAGGACCTTGCCGACTCCTGGGGTGCTGTGCTTGGTGAGGGCCTTCCTCACAGGGACGAGTCCTCACTGTGCCCTGCAGCAGCCCAGGAGAGTGGGGTGCCCCCGCTTCCCTCTGCCGTGCCAGTGCTTGGTGGGCCGTGCCCTGCCTGGCTAGAGCCTTCCCTCACAGTGGGGGCAGAGGGGCCAAAGGCCTTGCTTGCAGCCCATCAGCTGCAGCACTGGGGAGTAAGGTGTAAGCAGCTGCCAACCCTGGCTGACTGCATGTCTCTGTTTCAGGGAGGCCGGCGACGAGCTCCTCCTAACCGTCCTGCGCTGCACGTCGGTAAATGGCCTTTCTTCAGCACTCTCGGCACTCCTGGCAGCACTGCCCCAGATGCCCGTGGCCAGCAGTGTGGCCCACGGGGAAGGTGGGGCAGCGGTGCTGACACACAGGACGCAAGGGCCTGACCAAAGTCGTGAGGGAGCTGCAAGGGTCCTCTGCTTTCATGCACGCCCTTTGAGGACGCTTTGAGGAGGATCAGTGGTAACTCCTCACAGCTCCCCTGGACGTAGGGCCAGGGTGGCTTGCAGAGCTTGCCTCATGGAGAAGCTCACTGAGTGTTTGAGCCCATGCTCATCAGGAGCTGGGAGGGCCCAGTGGGCTCTTCAGGGGCCCACAGACCCCAGCGACTGGCATGCAGGCAGGTCTCAGCAAGCTGTGGCCAGCCCACCAGGAACATCCTGGAGTGCTCCCCGTGTGCTGGGGCTGTCTGGGCCATGGGGACCCTCTGGACATGACAGGCAGGTCCAAAGGATGCAAGCTCAACATCCACCCTAGGTCTTCCCTGGAAGCTCCTGAGGTTTTCTTTTCCCAGTGCTGGAAAAATTCAGCGCTTTTTCTGCAGGCTCTGTCTGGTTAAAGGCTGGGACCTGGGTTTGGATCATACTTTGGGAATAGACGCAAAGTTTTAGTGTGAAATTTTGGTACTGGTTGCTCATTCCTGTAGCATAGAATTCCCCAGAACGCATGTACTGCTGACGTGATGTGTTTATCCACGTAGTTTTCAATGTGTGTAAAAGCTGAGCTGCAAAGCAAGGACAAAATTGGGTTTGTGTTCTTTTTGGCTTCTTGTGATGTATGAAAATGGCCTGAGGGAGATTTTTCCCCAACACCCTGCCCTGAGAAGCATTTTGAGAGTGCTTTTCATTTGTTTGGAGTGGTTTTTTGTTTTTATTCTCAGAGACAAGAATGATGGTTCCTTCAGAAGAGTTACTGGAACTTTTAGGTCATGAGGTTTCTTTGCCATTCAGTAAAGGTACATTAAAGAGAAAATCTCTTAAATATATTTTTCCCGCCCAAAATTTCCCAGATGTTGGCATTCAGTAGCTGTGCACAAAGCCAAAGTAAGCAGAAAATCTTTGAGCAAACCCATGGAACAGTAGCTTCCCTCTTTCATGAATCTGATCTCCCTTGCCTAGTACAGTGGCTGTCTGTCTCGGCAGTGCTTGATCTGGCTCTGGAGATGAAGAAGAGACGAGAGCTAGTTATGTAAGACCTGAATACCTGGCGAAAGGGGGAAAATGCAATGGCTTTTCAGAGAGAAAAGGATTTGGAAAACCCTGAATGGGATTTGGAACACCCTTCACAGGCCTTCATGCATTGTTGAGAAGCAAATGGGGCACGAACCCATTTTTGTTTTTTCCTTTGCAGGTCACTTTAAGGACACCTCCAAATACAGCCAAGGCTGATCTTGGGTTTGGGGTTGGCTCTTGCCCCACTCTGAAGGCAGCTGTGCTTAGAACTGAGAGGTAACGCCTCCCACCGACGGGTACCAGACCCAATTCTGGGGCTGCTCTGGCCGCACTAGAAGGGATGTGGGCGGCCTTGGCCCTCTTCAGGGTGGCTGTGGGGTATGTTGCTCCTTACAGCCTGGCAGACTCTGGAAGGGCTTGCTGGCCAGTGCAGAGACTGCCTGCTGCCCTTCTGCCATCCTTGCCAAATGGCCTCGGGGCAAGAGTGTAGGGATTGCTCGACCTCGCAGCTGTCTAGGGGGATACTGAGGGATACTGCCTCTGTTCTTCCTAGGGAATATGGTGCTATATAAGAGCATTTGGGCATAAGAACTCAGTGGTTCCTAGGCTTGTGTTGTCTTGTGAGTTTGGCAGGGCCCTGTCATAGTGAAAGCATGGTTATGTGACAGCAGTGCAGTGAAGTCAAGTAGGCTTTTTAGCCTTGGGCAGTTTTCTTAAACATTTGCAATATAAAAGAGTGCTCTAGACACCCCAGCTAAGCTGGCAAGTGCTGCACACACACTGTGTTCTTGTGATACACTGACAAGGAATTTGGTCTGTCACTGTAAGGCACTCAGCACGTTTTGGTTTATGGACTGTGTAGCCCCACTGCAAGCAAGCTATTGGTAGATCAGCAGTCGTTCTGCAGGATCCTAGCTTCATTGCAGAGGTCATGGCGATGCCTAAACACAGTAATCCGTTAACAGGCAGTGAAATTAGGAGTGTCTACAGCATGTGTTGCACATGTGTCCACTTGTTGGGTTTGGGGTCAGAAGGCAGCAGCTGCCCAGATAGGTCAAAAGGGTCTGTAGCAAGCCTGGAGGCTGATCCTGCAGATGCAAGGCAGTGTGGTGTGAGCAGCTTCAGCACGGGCCGTGGCCACGCTGCTGCCTGTACTGTGGGCCTCTGCCTCTTGTACCTAACTGCTACAGACTAAGCTGCCAAGTGAGTGCTGTTATTTTTTCAGGGCGGGCCGAAGTCATCGTTTCTTACTGCAGAGAAGAGGGCAAGGCTAAAAACAAACCCTGTGAAAGTACGGTTCGCAGAGGAGGTGCTGGTGAATGGACACACGCAGGTCAGTGGGGCACGGCTGCGGGTGGGCGCCGTGGGCACTGCATGCTGAGGGCAAATGAGTCCTGTGGACAGAGGTCAGGCTGGGTTAGCGTGGCCAGGACCTACAGAGGGACTGCACCCTCTCTCTGCTGGTCTGCCCTGGGTATGCGTCCAAGCATACAGTCCCAGCTTGTTTACTGGGCTCACTGGTGATCGGAGGGAAGTGCTGCCATCTCCAGAGGGTTTTGTCACTGATTTGCTTACTTAGACCAATGGAGAGTACTGCATGTAGTACTTTGGTCCTTTTACTATCAGGTAAATTTTAAACCAGCATTACATAGCTATGGGACGTAGTAATCATCTCTTGAGATGCTGATCTCTCAGTAGTAAACCTAGACTGAAGTTTGGGCATGACAAAGCCTGACCCTAAAGATGAGAGGTGAATCCTACTGTCCATGCCAGGTTTCTCTGCTGCCAAAGTGGCTGGTGTATCTCTTTCTGGCATTCAGCAGTGTTCAGAGAGTTTAGGACTGGTGACTTTGCTGTGAAATTTGACATATGTTCTGTAGCTGACAGGGTGACAGTTTGTTGTGGTTCCTTTTGCTGCAGAGGGTTTCACAGAGCATTCATAGCTGCCTCGAAAAATAGATCAGCTGTAAACTGAGCCAGCCTCTTCTTATGTGAAACAAGATCACAGCTCACTGGAGGGATGCTGCAAATTTATCACAGAGTTTCTAGCACTGGTAACAAATGAGCTGGGTAGATATGGGTCTGCCTGCAGCAGAAAAGGACAAGCAGTGAGGACACTTGTACTTTTCCTGAAGTGCAAACAGCTCTTAAATGTTTCCTTTCTCTGTGTAGCTTACTAAGCTCAATGTGGTTGCGATGGACTAGGGTCAGTTGGGAGTCTTCAACTTGGACGGCCAAGCACAGAGAGTTGTGGTGAATGGAGCAAAACCCAGTTGTGACCAGGCACAAGTGGTGTTCCCCAGGGCTCGGTTTTGGGGCCAGTCCTGTTTAACATCTCTATCAATGATCTGGATGAGGGGATTGAGTGCTCCCTCAGCAGGTTTGGAGATGACACTGAGTTGGGAGGGAGTGTTGATCTGCCTGAGGGTAGGAAGGCTCTGCAGAGGGACCTGGATGGGCTGAATCCATGGGCTGAGGCCAATGGGATGAGCTTCAACAAGGCCAAGGGCCGGGTCCTGCACTTGGGTCACAATAACCCCATGGACGCTGCAGGGGACGAGTGGCTGGAAAGGACCTGGGGTGTTGGTGGCAGCAATGCCCATGAGGC